CTTGTGACGGTATAGATTTTTGTGTTGAGAAACTTGCGCATTACATTTCAGACCCCTTCTTTAAGCCCCTAACCAAAAGCATGGGGTTGCCAGATGTGTGTGCCACACATGCTGTACACACCCACTACAGCATTTGCTCTTACACTCCTGACGGCCACATGCAGGAGAACAAATAGAAGGTAGTGGTTTGGCGTAAGAAACTAAATACACACACATACACAATCAACAGAGGGCGGGGAAAGCAGCAGCTGGCCTGAGGTCGATTTAAGGGCTTCATCTGAGCCTGACAGGAGAAGTTGCACTGCATGTTTTTTTTGACGTGGACGAGGGGTGCCAGGAAGCTCTTGCTGGTTGTGATTAGGCAGCAGGCCCTTCCATCTCCCAGGCTTCCCTGCAGTGACGGAAACCAGATAGCTGCGCCTAATAAACCACAAGCTGCTCCCTCTCAGAATCAAGGGGCGGCCCCATGCAACCGCTGTCTTGTGTCTTTATAAGGAAACTTACAGTCACCGATGTGTGATGTCGGCAGTCCAAATCCAAAGCACACATCAGATAATGTGTCTGCAATCAACGGGCAGCTTTTATGGTTCATCTCCGCACTGGGCTCCATTCTGCTTCAAACAATTTTAGAGAAGCATTAGAGAAAGCGAGCTGCCCAGTAAGCTTGAGTGTGCTTTAAAAGGGCCACATTCTACACTTATGTAGCAGTTCTTGTTCCCTGAAGTCCACTTATAATGTTAGTCAAGGTTTCTGAGACCAATAACAGCATTCATTTAGTTTTACCTGATCGTTTTAAACTCTCTCTGACCCGGTTTTAAATAATACCTTTAAGAGATCAATATGCAAACGACCATACGACTGGCTAACCTGCATTCCACAAACTTCAGTCAAACTTCAGTCAGGCGTAATTAAGTAAAGAGGTCATGCTAAATACAAGGCAAAATAAATATAAACAAAATGAATAACATATATATATATACTGTATATTATTCATATTTTATCATATGCATTATATTAATAAATATTAATTATTTAGTATTTTATGTACAGATATAACTTCCTGAACGTATCACTGAAAACATACTTTTCTTTTTTTTGCGAAGATACTTATATGTACTGTGAAAACTGGTATTCAATTGAAAATTGACAAAGTCAATACATGAATAGTTCGCAATATCTCACTACCATATTGATTATCATACTGCACATTATGCTGTGGTCGCTAAATTCATTTGTAGCATTTAAAATGAGTGATTTTAACTTTTAGTAATTTAGATTTCATTTTAATTGGAAATGTTAATATTAGCCATTTATCGGTTATTGGCCGTAACTTAAAAATAGTAATTATTGGCATCTGATGGAATTTAAACATCAGGAAATTAGAGGGCGGCTGAGGGTGCCATTTAGGCCAAAAATTAAAACACTCACGTAGAAAAATAAATCCATATATGGGCTTGGCAGACTGGTAGACTGAACCCTTATTTTTTTTAAAACAACAACATCCTGTTTCCATGATACCTCCCCTTAATAATCCTCTGCAAGTACAAAATAGTCTGCAATGCTTCTGGATATTAAAGAAATTGACACAGTAGCAAGAGGAGTGGGGGAGTTAGGTTCTGGTTATTGTGTTTATTTTTCCCATTCCAGACTGCAAGAGCAGATCTATGAGTCCTTACCTCACCAACAGCTCCTGGCTTCAGGCCAGGCTGTCTAACACACTGACCTAAAGAGTGTGTGACTGAAGACGGGGGACAAAAGAGGAGGAGAAAGAGGGAGACAAAGACAATGTGTGGTGAAGAATAAGCAGGGAACGCTAGCACATTATTTCTCTGCACCGGTCTGTTCTTTTTTCTTGAATCTTTCTGACATACACGGGCATGCGTGTGTGAGCAGAATGCCAAACATAGCAGAGCGTGTGCAATATATATATATATATATATATATATATATATATACTGTATATTATTCATATTTTATCATATGCATTATATTAATAAATAATTATTTAGTATTTTATGTACAGATTTAACTTCCTGAACGTATCACTGAAAACATACTTTTCTTTTTTTTGCGAAGATACTTATATGTACTGTGAAAACTGGTATTCAATTGAAAATTGACAAAGTCAATACATGAATAGTTCGCAATATCTCACTACCATATTGATTATCATACTGCACATTATGCTGTGGTCGCTAAATTTATTTGTAGCATTTAAAATGAGTGATTTTAACTTTTAGTAATTTAGATTTCATTTTAATTGGAAATGTTAATATTAGCCATTTATCGGTTATTGGCCGTAACTTAAAAATAGTAATTATTGGCATCTGATGGAATTTAAACATCAGGAAATTAGAGGGCGGCTGAGGGTGCCATTTAGGCCAAAAATTAAAACACTCACGTAGAAAAATAAATCCATATATGGGCTTGGCAGACTGGTAGACTGAACCCTTATTTTTTTTAAAACAACAACATCCTGTTTCCATGATACCTCCCCTTAATAATCCTCTGCAAGTACAAAATAGTCTGCAATGCTTCTGGATATTAAAGAAATTGACACAGTAGCAAGAGGAGTGGGGGAGTTAGGTTCTGGTTATTGTGTTTATTTTTCCCATTCCAGACTGCAAGAGCAGATCTATGAGTCCTTACCTCACCAACAGCTCCTGGCTTCAGGCCAGGCTGTCTAACACACTGACCTAAAGAGTGTGTGACTGAAGACGGGGGACAAAAGAGGAGGAGAAAGAGGGAGACAAAGACAATGTGTGGTGAAGAATAAGCAGGGAACGCTAGCACATTATTTCTCTGCACCGGTCTGTTCTTTTTTCTTGAATCTTTCTGACATACACGGGCATGCGTGTGTGAGCAGAATGCCAAACATAGCAGAGCGTGTGCATGCTCGACTCCCGCAGGTGATGTCATCATGACCACACATGAGACAGGAGCTGATTCACAGCCAGCATCTCTAGGTTCTTTGCATAAGAAAGCTCTCGTGAGTACTACTGATCACGCATCTGCTCTTGGACCTGGAACCCTGAAACCTGAATCCGCTCAGAAATGAGATGAACCTCGTTAAGTGGATATGCTCCTGGCGGACTGGCATGCTCTACAAAACCCAGCCATCATGTGAAGAGCATAAGAGCAACACAAATGATGCAAGATGGTGTGTACTGTATGTGGTGTGTTTGTGGATGAGGGAGACATTCATGAGTTTTGAATGTCAGTACTTAGTCTCCTTAAAGGAGACATATTATGCCCCTTTTTACAATATGTAATATAAGTCTCTGGTGTCCCCAGAATGTGTCTGTGAAGCTTCAGCTCAAAATACTCCACGGATCATTTATTATATAATTTTGAAAATGCCTATTTTCAGAGAAAGCAGAAACACGCAATTTTTTGGGCCTGTTTCTTTAAATGCAAATGAGCTGCTGCTCCACGCCTCCTTTTCCAAAATAGAGCTGTGCCATTACAGCTCGTACCTGCTAAAAAACATCTGATTTGGTTCTGATTATCATGTTTATCGCTCGTTTTAAACCATACGAGTTTAAACCTCTGATATACTGTTTTCTGAGAGCACACATCCGAAGCACACGGACAGAAAGCGGCTGTCACGGCATGCGAGTACTAAACTAAGTTCTCATTCACACACAAGTTTCCGTTAAAAACACACACGATTTACAAAAACAGTCGGCTATGTATGTGAAGGTAAACTGCTGGGAAATAAATGTGCATGTTTATTTTAGATCTGTGTGGCAGCAGCAGCAATATACATTAAATAAATCAATAAATCCACTGCTCTCGTCTCCTCTGAGGCTGGGACTCTAAACAGTGTTCTGTGCTCGTCTGTGCAGCCAATGACAGAACAGTTAGCATGTTTTGCTCAAACTTTTGCCATGGCATTAGAACTGGTACACCGTTATCGCTTGTGAAATCAAAATGACGGCGCCGTGGGTGGAAACTTACAGATTAAGGGGCAGTAATATTATAATGAGATCCCTTTGCAATGTCACTAGGGGAGCGAAATCAGACGCTCTCGTTTTCTCAGACACTTGCAGAAAAAGGCTTACCAAAACAAAGCTACTGGGTTAATCTTTTTCACGTTTCCTTGGTTGGTAGATGCACCAGGGACCTGATTATAGCACTTAAAACCTGGAAAAGTCAGATTTTCATGATATGTCACCTTTAAGTTTCAAATGAAATGCTCAGGCTAACAGAGGCTTTATACATTAGCTTGCATTTCACACAACATTTCTCCCTTAACTCTTTTTTTTCCTTTTTTTTAAAGAGAGAGAACATTTTGTCATTTTGTACACCCCCTCACGCTGATACAAAGCTGTGTGACTTTCTTCCGTGAAACACAAAACGAGAAGTTTAGCAGAATGTTCATATTGCTATTTTGCATAAAATGAAAGTTAATAAGGACTGTTAATAAGCATTGTTTTTTTCTATGTAAACATGCACTAGACAGATGTCTTTGACATCAGACACATCTTTTGCAAGAAAAAAATGTGGTGCTCAAATTAAAATTAAAATAATGTCCTTTCTTAAAGTTTTTTTCCCTGCAGAAACGTGTTCTGTGTGAATTCAGATCAAAGAAAATGACTAAACATTCAGCCATTATGCATTGAAAATCTCCAGATTTTTAAGTCGGACCACGTTTTACATAAATGATACCAAAAGCTGTTAGTGGTCATGTATCATGACGCGAGTAAATAATGACAGAATATTTATTTCTGGGAGAACAAAATTCTTTTAAGCCCTTCTGAACATCCCAGCAACGAACTATGCAATGTTTATTAAAATTGAATCTGCATTTTAGCTGACTAGTATCCTAGTCCCTAGACACAGTTTAAAATATCTGTCAGACATTTAAGTGCATGTAGCTAAATCAAGTACTGGACAGAGTCTTATAGGAACGCCACTACTCTCAGTATGAACATAAGTTCCCTCTCTAGAGAAACTGCGTTAACTGCTTAAACCATCATCATATACTGCTGGTGAACAGCAATGCTTCACAAAAGTAACACAGCAAAAGGAAATGAAAAAGGCTCCATAAAAAAACACTGCAGCTGTGATGAGGATGTGTAATATTAAGGATCTAGACCCACACCCACCTAATCTATGAACACGCCCACTTTGTCTCATGTCACACAGACCACACCCACACTGCATCTCAGCGCACAGACCACACCCACCCAATAGCAGGCCCATCAGGCCACACCCCCATCTCAGAACCCAGACCACACCCACATCATCTCAAAAGACAGAAAATACCCACCCCATTTCAGAAGACTGACATTCTTCAGTGGCATTTCCCTCCACTCTGATTAAGTGAACACCCACTGTGCAAGATGATGAAAAGATACAGTCCAAGGCAGATGAAAAGGATTGAACTTTAAGTCTACCCTGTCTGCCTGTTTCAGGGAGGGGGGGGGGGGGGAGATACTGCTGAAGAACTATAAGAGTGTCTTCACTTGGAGGCACAGCACCTGACCTAAGAATCAATTCATAGGCCAAAAAACAACAAAAAAGAATCTGGTCATAAGCCCAGACTACCTAAAATACTGAAACAAAACTGTAAACAAAGTGAAATGTCCAGTTAGTGGCACTAAAAGCGCATTCAGTTTTATCTAAAACAAATGACAGCGAATCTGTCAATGTTTTATTACATTGGTTGTTGTACTACTTATGACAGTTCAGAAATGAAATGTCCAGTCAATGGCGCTAAAAGATTAAAGCCATTTGAAAATAATGCACAACCTACACTAAACCCTGCCCTTAAACCTACCAATTAGTGTTAACAAAATGTGACCAAAAAAAAAAAAACACTTTTGCTAAAGCAGCCATTTTTGCTTGTTTTTACCACTCTGTGCTCTTTTAACATGTTTTATGTTTTACTGGACTCATACTCGAACGCAATGCTGTCCCAGGTGAGCTATCGAGCAAATTTACCACATCAGAAAATACATATGGATCTAGTTATGCGATGCAAACATCAAAATGTATTAGTTTATAAATCATGCACTATGGTAAAAGTGTTTCAAAGTCATAACATAGTATGTGAAAATAAGTCCTTATTAATAAATAATCTGCTCCCTGTAATCATATTTCATGTGAAAAGGAATCATTTTTGTTGATGTCTTGTGTTAATTTCAGCTGAAAACTGGGTAACACTTTATTTTAAGGTGTCCGTGTTACACATGTACTTACTATAATAATAACAACAACAATTAATTATGCATAATTACATGCAAGTAACCCTAAGCCAAACCCAAATCCTAACCATTTAATTAGTACATGTAGTTAACTAATATTACTAATAATTACACTGTAACAAGGACACCTTAAAATAAAGTGTTACCAAATAAAGTGTAACCGAAAACTGCTGTGAATTGTACATACAGGTACATTTGTGGAGTTCTGCAATAACGTATGTAGAGGCACATTTTCCTCAGTGTGTGCATGTTGAAAATATTGGCACCCAAAACATCTTTCTCAATGACTGTTAGAAAGTTTGAAAAAGCAAACGTGATAAACTTGAAAAGAAAAAAAAAAGATATAAACCTCACTAAGAACTTATGGGGATTTCCACACTTGTGGAGAGTAACCCCTTAGTTCCCTAGTGTGCTTTTACCATTATGCTCTGACAAAGAAATGAGAGAAGCATGTTCCAGAAGTTCCTAAAATCAACTAAAACAAGTATGCGCCACTAATAATGAGATACTGAGATGATTTCTGAGATGAGTCTGGTTTGAGGGAGAGCTACAGAACTCTACGTGACACTTGGCACCAATACACCTCATCATGGTCTTTTTCCAAGACAGATCTGTGCCTAGAATATCTGAAGGGAAGTGAAAACTATCAGTCAGGTCAGTTTGGAAATTTAGACTCCGCACTCTGCTCAGTAAAGTGTTGAGCAAACATTAAATGAATTGAGTGATGAAAAATGATACCATTTACGACAAACCAAGAGACGCCATTAGAGGATACACACCAACAGGTGCATTCTGAAAAGTGGGTGGCACTCATAAGCTTGACTTATGAATATTAATTGGCGACTTCTAAATGGCATCGTTGCATGTGGCCAGCTACAATTTGTTTGTCAAACGATGGTCAAAAGAAAAAAAAAAAATGAAAGGGCAGAAGAAAATTTAAGTGTTCCCTCCAGTTTTAATGGATGTTATGCCCTGACACATCCGTAAAAATTCACACCCAAAGGGAAATCCCTCTGCAAAATGAAGTGATGTGTCAGCTATTGCATATAAAAGTACAGTAATAAACCGTAATCATTAAGCTAATTATGGTCAAAATGTAGGTCCAAATCAATTACATTTATGGCCCCAGGAAGATGGATAATTAAACTGTAATTGCTTTCTGTTTGAATATATCAAGCTAAGAAAAACTACTTTTATAAGCAAACAAAGTCATTTAGTCAATTCCAGTGCAAATGGAATTAGGAGGACAGCAGAGGAAAGACAGTCAGCCTGCCGGGATTGCTCGTGCCTACTGGTGCCTGCCGGCTTTCTTTTCTCGGAGCTGAACAGACTGCTGGGATCTGCAGGGGTGGTTAGCTTTGCTATTCTGAGGAGCGTGGAGAGAAGCACCACGTTCTCCCACGGGATTCATCGGAGGGAGTCTGAACATGCCACTCCATAGAAAAGTCAACTGATATTTCGACAAGAGAGGCAAGCGGGAGGTAAAACGTGGCGTGCGGCATCGTACAAATAGGCGAAGACTCGTATGCAAATATACATTTGGTGCACGCACATCCCGGGAGAGATGAACGCGCTGCTCATTGGAGCTGGAAAAAAATGAGTCTTAAAACATAAAAGAGACGGGCGTTCAAAAGATGTGCAAATGTGCTAACAGAGAGACTCATATACACATGAATGGGTCACATACACGGAGATGATACAGGAGAGCTCTACAGCAGTGCACTATACACAGTCCCTGAGTCTATCTGAAGATGTTGGGATTAATTTAAAATCCACAGAGCTGTTTAAGGACATCTATTTGAGAGCCACACAAAACAACAACTGGCCTGAGCTGACGGCTACAAATCAGAGCAGCAGACTGGATTAAGCAAATAACAAATCTACAAGTGTATGGCTTTCAAGATATCTATAATCAAGCCTACATTTTAAAGAGAACTGCTGCTATAAAATGTAAAATTGCTGTCATAAACCAAGGCTCAACATTAATAGGAGTTGGTAAAGTGGTAGCACACAAACGTAATGCGCATATTGATGTCGGTTTAAACATTAAGGCTAACTCGCAGCATTTCTAGAAAAGTGAGCAGCAGAAAGCAAGAATTTACTGTATGTACTTCTATGATGTTTATGGCAAATCTAAGCAAAAATTCTACAAGACATTTTTTACTATGAACCCGATTAATCAGACAATATTTCATAACCAATACCGTTGATGAAACCATGTAATCATCTCTAGGAACAAGCACAGGGCCGTTACATCAGAGACAGACTGAAATAAAAGGTATAATGACATAGTTTCTAACAGCAGTCTGGTTCATTGTTTGCCATCAATTGTTTTCAACTAGTTCAAAAGAAATCTAATTGTCAAATTATCAGAACTTAGGCTTACTGATACACACAAGGCTTATTATGAGCAATGTTTATGAATGAGACAACACTGTTGATGATCAAGAACATGTAGTATGCTAAGGTTTAAAATGCTAGTATGCTAAACCTTTTGATCCGAGCTACATATATATATATATATATACACACATATACATATTCCATGGATGTTAAAGGTTCTTCATGGAACTACAGATGTCAATATGGAACCTTTCTGAATATTTTGATCCATGCACTAAAGTAAACTATACCTCTCATAGCTTTTAAATCTAATTTAAATAATCACATATTCAATATTTATTCAATATACAACCTGGTGTGATGTTACTTTTTCTAATTTTTGGAGTTTGACAAGTTTGTCATTTTTGTCATTCACCATTCACTTTCATTGTACTGTATGTTAGAGAACAGTGTGAACATTCTGCAAAACATCTCCATTTGTTTTTCTCGGAAGAAAGTCATACGGGTTCGAGTAACTAACTATGAATTATTCCTTTAATACATAAACAAAGAGATCTGCACTGGCATTTACATCGAGGCAGAATTTTTGCCCCACTTCTGATCTAGTTACACTAAACTACATGGCAACTGATGCCCTCAACAATTACGAACACTGGCTCAAAGGGCAGGGGTGTCAAACATCCCGTCAAAACAACGCCAATAAGACTAAGGGAATAGCATGATTTCTATTGCTAGAACCAGTAAGCTGCTTAGAGACTGGAAAACAACAAGTCGGGAGGCAGATTATGGAAGGAAAAGGAGCAACGGGAGACGAGATCAATGAGAACTCAGCCCAACCTCTAGTGTCAAATGTCAACACATGGCAGGGCATCTGACGTCTGACTGACTACAGCATATAGACCCCAGGGATGCGTTTACACACACATAATTCTCTGCAGACAAATGAGCAATACCGCTTCATGAACTTCTTGCTCAAACCATTTCGTTGTGCATTTCTAAATCAAATCACAGCCTAATAGAAGGTGTCATCATAAAGGCTGGGTAGTAGATCTAATATTTATGTGCAAAATAAAAATAAACTAACATTGTGAACATTTGTATATACTTTTTAAATGAATTTATATTTACTTATTAGGCTGTTACTGGCCTTGTGTCAATACTCAAATAAAGACATATAATATATTTTTTTACGTCTCAAATACTGCAATAGTAAAAATGCCACCAAAGCTGGGAATCAGTTCAGTGAGTTTTTTTAAACTGTACATTGCACTGCTCAAAAACACAAATTTTAATGAGATTTTTACTCTTTTGGTAAACACAATGGTGCCATGAAATGTAAAAGAAAATTTATTTAATATGGCTGAAATTATTTACTAATTTCATGCGGCTCTTAAAAGTCTTTAAAAATAACATGCACTACTGTTCAAAAGTTTGGGATCAGTAATACTTTAATGTTTTTGTGAGAAGTATCTTACACTGCTGCATTTATTTCACAGTAATATTGTGAAACATTACAATTTAAAATACCTCTTTACTATTTTAATATATTTTCAAATTGAATTTATTCCTGTGATTTTCAGAAGCCATTACTCCAGTCTTCAGTGTAACATGATCATTTTGATGCTCAAGAAACATTACTGTGCTGCTTAATACTCGTGGAAATCATGAAGCATTTTTTTCAGGATTCATTGATGAAGAACAGCATTTGTTTGAAATATAAATATTTTGTAACACTATAAATGTCTTTACTATCTTCAGAGGTGAGCAGCTCTTTTGATAAAAAGTATCAATTTAGAAATGTAATGCATCCTCGCTGAATAAAAGCAGCATTTTCTTTCAAGAATAAAAAAAAAAAAAAAACATATTACTAACACCACTTTTCATATATAATGTACATATGAAGAGTTTGGTTCCAAAACGCGATAAACGCGTTTTACATTTTTTTTTATTAAGTTTCCGCCAAAATCAGTATTGTATCTGGTCGGTATTGAAAAGTGCATTTTTAATTTTACGCAAAAAATGCGATATCCGCCGAGTTATTCTGTCATGTTTTCTCCCTTTTTTTCCAAACCGCGACAAACGCCAGTCTCCCTTTTCTGTAGAATGCGATATATCCGCTCAACCAATCACAGCGCACCATTCCACGCACTCTAGACAGTAATGGCGGCGCTTTGAATACACCCGGCTTCCTAGTTTTCCTCATTTATTTTGTACTTTGTGATCAACAAACAAACTTTGGGCTGCACGATAAATCGCATGTGATTGTCATGCGCATCTCGTCAGTAAAGCCGGTTCTGTGATTAATAGTAAATCTCCATCACGTGCTTTCAGGTGGAGCGGCATTTAATACACAGAGCCGTAGATCACTGCTATATCGCGTTCACAATCGACGATTATGAACGCGATATTGCGTAGCTTGTCAGTGTAAGTGTTTTTATTTATGCCATTAATGTTTTTGTTAATACAGCGTATAACGCTAGTCAACTAAATGAATGTAACATGGCAAAGATGAATGCACTTTTGGAAGTTGAATGTAAGGGAAATGTAATTTTGGAATTTCTGTGGTTTAATGTGATATTGTTGTTCATGTATGTTCATGATGACATTTTCTTTTATTGTAGTAATTAATTTATAGCATTAACAAGATGACCCGTAGAATTCATTTTGGGTGCAATGACTGATTGAATGTATTTTTAGTCCAGTGCCTGTATATAAGATTAGTATTGACCAAGTTCAGAGGCTGTCATATGTGGATCAACTTACTATGTTGTGCATTTTCAACAGTTTCAATATGAAAAATAACTTTTATATTGATTCAATGGATTTATTGCATTTTGAAGAAAAAAAAAAAGTGTCAGATTTATTGCATTTTGGGAAAAAAATGATAACATTTTATAATAAATCTTTGAAAATCTAAATCTGGATTTGAATTTTTTATGTTATTATTACCTAAAGATGCTATGTGAACATTTGAAACAGAAAATAATGGTTTTCATCTTGCCACATTCTTGGTAAAGAAAACAAATTTTTACTCAAATCAATCAAAATGGATTTATAGCGTTTTGGAACCAAACTCTTCATATATAAATCAACAAAAAAAAAACTGAACTTCAATTTGATCATAAGCCTCATTCTGGATCATAGACTCAGAAAAGGCCCCAATCTTGCAAGTCACAAATAGCTGCCACAGTCATCAGTCATGGCTTACATGCTTAGATGAGGACAATGATGTGTGGAAATAGATGGAGGAATTGCTTTGATATTAGCATCAGAAAACGTGAGCGTCAAGCTGAGCTACACCACATTAGCTCAGTAACCCTTGGAAACAACTTGACAGCCAATTCTGATTTCTTACACTGAGATCCAGTTGATATCTGCTAAAAACAAAGCATATTTACAGTACCAAACCCACAGTATTCATCAGCAATCTTTACACTCGCTTAGACTTGAACAACAATCACATGACTTAAAAGGAGGAAGGAAGGCGTGACAGGGCCACCAGGTTTCATGAGGCCCTTTGGCCTAAAGAGGAAGCGGTCCAATTTGCTGAGGGATGCCAACAACCTTCTTTTCCCCGCACTGTCATGTTCTTCCTCTCCAGAGCATCTCCTTTCCTTTCTGCTCAGTTGGTTCCTCTAAAAGTCTCAAACGGTTACCGACAGCTGGCAGTTAATGTTTTGTCATCTCATTACCCACTGGCTTCAAAACGCTATTCCGTTTCCTAGTCAAATGTCAAAGCCTTGGTGGGAAACCACAGCACTTACTAATGTCGTAGCTGTTCTCAATACTCAATATTCAATATCAGGGGCTCAAAAAGTAAAGTTTAAGGATCTGAAATTGAAAACCCATAATCAACCACTAACCTAAACATTTACCCATTTACAGACCCATAATACAGTGACACTAGAAGAATACAGAGCGTAATTCAGACTAGCAGTCTGGTTATTCAGACACGGCCCTTCAGAGGAATCAGTCCCGACAGCTGTATTAGAACTGCCATTTACAAAGTCAAAGAGATATTTGCTTCCCTGACAGACCCCGTGTTTGTTTGCATACGGTTTGACTCCTGCAATAGTGCTGGGAAGTGACTTGCTGGGAAGTTCTGATACAGCTCAAAGCAAGAACCACAGTGTCAACCGCAACAATCACGACTATAATTATAAAAAACAACTAGGAACTACACGAAAGTGATACCTGAAATCGACACATCATAGGTGACGTGGCTCTAAATATAGACGTTTCTTCCAGGACCCAGCCCAGATTTTTAAAGGGTGTTCAAACGTTGGGCAGCCTTCTTTGAAAGGAAGTCCACATCTCTTCATTTAATTATTTTCAAAAGAGTCTACAGACCGGCATTCCTCTGTGCTCAAGAGGACACACTATCACGGGGATTTCCTTCCTCTTGCTCTAGGAGGGACAGGATCGGGGTCGTCCCGACCCACCACTCCAAAAATGTGCCAAGTACTGGTAACAAGCTTGGTATTGGACATGTATGTACACATTTATAAATTACACAGAATCTTTTTTTTAACTCAAACTTGATGACATAAAAAAAAGAAGCAACAACAAAGCTATGACTGCATTTAGTCATCTTTCACATGAAGTTAGTGCACTGGCAAAACAGTTTTGACACAGGAAATGTAAGGGTGCCATACACTTATCTGCCTTTGGCAGTGACAGATATATTGCTGCCTACTATTCCGTGATTGGGAATGACAAGTGTTTGCTCAAGACCCCATCAAAAACAGGAAATGGTATTCACTCGGTTGGTGGTTGCACAATTTGTCATAAATATTTCAGCAAACATAAACCTATACAAATTCCACAATAAATGGCGTTTTGAACTATTTAACACTAATTTAACACAGAAGCTGCATATACAACACCACAAAAAAAGAGTAGAGTAGGTATTAATGAATTAAACAAAAATAATGCAAAGGTTAAAAGAATGCTACAAAATTCTGAATATAGAACTATGATGTGAAATTATAAATAAACTATGAAAATATTCATTTATATTATATGCTTAAATGTGCAGTCACGTTTTCAGCAAATTTTCATAGGCAAAAAAGGTCCATTGTCGACAGCAAAGCCATGTATGAAGCATAGCCCACACTGAAGTCACTTTCAAACCAAGCAGTTTTCGTTTGGTGAGTGCGGCCAATTTGTGTGACCAACTTCAACAATAGTGAAATCTGCATAGGAAACAGTTCGCCATCACACAAAACTCCCAATCCTGCGGAATCCCATTGAAGCGGCTAGATTTCGTCCATACGAATTGCCGACCAATAGTAAATGTGACCGCACCTTAAGGCTGCACTGATGCTGCATTTCATCCACACAGAAGCAAAGCAGTATCAGATGCAGATACTGTGCTTAGGGGGAACCTGGCCAATTTTAGTAGTGATTTATGTGACATGGTTTTTCTACACAGACTTTAAAGCAGACACAAAGCCGCCTCAGAACAGCCTGTGTAAAGTCACCTTTGGAGAAAGGCTGTTATAATTTGACAAGAGCCCCGTCATTAAAGATCAAGCCATTAAAAATGCATGGAGAAGCAACACGGGATCTTCTTTAACAACCTCTTTGAGAGACTTCAGCTTCATATCCCTTCTCAAAGGACAATATTCAAAATGTCACATCCAACTATAGGAGTCTATAAGGGCCCTGTGATGTTTTCTGGTCTATTAAGTGGAATGCAACACGAGTTTATATACACACATATATATATTCTTTCCGTAACCCTTAAAAGCACGAGTGCAAAGTATTCCTACGTGATCTGACAGTCACTCCAACGTGAAAGAAAACAGAGTCTCATTTTCTCCAATTCTTCTTGAATGAACTGTAGTCATCTTCCCTCGACTGAGGAACAGAACTAGGCGGGGCCGGTAATCAGTCAAATCTAGAAGGAAAGACTGCATTAGAAGCGCTAATTGCGCCTTTTATCACATCGCCTGACAACTCCTCATCTATCTCTTTACGTAAACCATGTCGAAAAATGTAGCTTTGACGGTTTGAAGGCGACAATCTGTGCTTCGTTAAACTACTCATTCGTACAACTTTTCCATTTCCGCTATAACTTCCACAGCGCCGTGGGCATGCGACAACAAAAAACGCCATTCTTCACGCAACACAACACCGCAAACCTCGGGCGCTTCTACACAAAGTTGCCAGCGATCATTCTCGCCATAAAGCCGAGTCTGGTAAATCTAAGGAGTTGAATTGTTTCACTCCAGCTCCGCCATATTCTAGCCATCTGAGCCGCTCTTCCGCAAACCCCTGTGCCGGTCTGCTCTGCAACATTGTAACATTCCGCCGTTCAGCCGCTACAATGTATCAGTCCAACGGTGACATGATAATCCCCTCACAGCTCCCGCGCAACACACGCGCCGCTACGACTGTAATGCCCATAGAATCTTGCTCAAATGCGATACTTACAGCTCCAGCCAGTCAGTCCGTCTGCGCCTGTGCCTGTGAAAGAGCTGCTCGCCTCTGGGAGGGTGGGTGAGGTTTAGAGTCGAGCATGACGTTACAGCCTCGGTTTCAGCACCGTACGCTCCTGAGCTCTGCCTACAATTGAGCGTAACGGGAAACGGGGCTGTTTAAAGCACGGGGAACGAGCGCTGCTAAATGTGGCACATGGACATGACAGTGTTGATGGGTATGTACAGTACCTACAGTACAAGATACAGAAAAAGTACTGTAGTGGTATCATGGTATAGTGACTGTGTCCGATGATAATACCATGCTGCTTGCAAACATACCATGGTATTCCATGGTACTTCAACTGTTCAACAATACTATGGTACATGTAAAAATAAAAAACAGTCTTACAAGGATTGCATAGCCAAAAAACATGGTAGTAGTACCATGGTACTCTTAGTTACTGTTTTTTTTACTGATTTTCAAAAACATGTCACTTCCCTTCCACCAGCTGTCCATAGTTGCACATATATTTAAATTATATATGAATAGGAATTATCTCTCATTATATATAAATAGGTGAGAACACACACACACACACACACTTAAATATTCTTAAAGTAAGAATAATTACATGTATATTTTATAAAAGAAATAGTGCTACTATGTCCTGACAGGGTGAGACTTTTCAAATTATTTATAGGAAATGGCATAAAATTACACAATAACAATGCCAGTGTTTACTTTCAGTGAATGTAAGATTTTTTAGTATTTATAACACAATTGATGTCATTTGTGTATCTGACAGGGTTGCCCCATAATGAGTGACAGGGACGAGAAAACACATTTTGTGACAAAGAAAATTGATTCAAGAGATTGCACACAAATAGAGAGGAATATATGAAGAGTTCAGATGCAAAAGCCGTCTGAAATTTTTATCAGGCTCCTATATTTAGGTTCAGTAATTTTACTTTAATGGCAATGTATAGGTTCTTTTCTATGCTATTAAAGTGAGAAGAAAAAAACTGAACATAAATATATGAGCCTGATAAAAATGGTCATTTTAGATGAAAATTTCAGACGGCACTTAGAGGCTTTTGCATCTGAACTCTTCATATATTTTCACTACTATTTTGTTAGTGTTTCCACATGTTTATGCAATATTTTAGTACTCTTTTGACTGTGATCATCCCAAAAAATAAAAAATTTAATCTAAATCACACTGAAGTCATAGCACTTTACAGAGGAATAGATCTTTTTGCTTCTTTTTGTTAGTGTTTCTACATATTTATGCAGTATTTTAGTACTTATTTGACTTTGACCATCCAAAAACAACCTAAATCACACATGACTCATGGCACTTTTCAACATTTTCCATGGAGAATGTTACATTTCAATGGCATCATTCTAATCCCAGTATGGCATGACTGGTCTCCTGTTCTCCCGAGCAGCAACTCTCATCCGTCAGAAGCTGACTCTGCCACTCTGGGGGGAAAAAATCCTCAGCGCCAGTCAAATGGCTCATTGAGAGCAACTAGGAGAAGCCAGGAATGCCAAGTATGCTCACTGGCATCAGGAATGCAAGCCCACTCCCTGCTGTGGACTAGCATCCCCTCCCCTCTGCCAGCAGTCATGTGGCCCTGAGCTACATGAGGGCTGAGATGTCTTCCATCGGTGGGGTCCTTAAATGCGGATTAGTGACCAGTGTGCAGTTTTGCTGGTCTCACTAAATGGGGCGACTGAGAGACGAGACAAAATTAGCATGTCGCCGCTATATCAGCATTTGGCTTGGCTGGGCAATGACTGGGTGAACGGGAGAACATATGAAACTGAACCACTGAACTAAATAGAGAAAAGAGGAATGAGATTTCGGCTTTCAGAATTGTGGAAGTCTGGGGGTGTTGAGGTGAATACACTTTAGTCAGAGTAGACAGCATATTAATGTAACACAAAGGAAAATGAGGTTGTGAAGGATAGAGTTACAGTCTGTTTAGTGGATTGTACTATTGAGAAGCAAAGACTCCGGGG